GGTGATGGTTAATTTGTTATAATTGTAAGGATTTCTGATTTTGAGAGACTTTATTTTATCAATTTAAGCTTCGATTTGGATGGCTATCAAAAGACGTTGATTTCAGGTGGTAAGTTGTCGAAAAGTCTCACAAATTTTCATCCCAAGAACTGAACTTTAGTTTTACTCCCGAAGTTTGGCTACTTATGCTTGCTGGGTTTTGATTTTCTTGCTTAAATTCATGTTTTTTTCACCTCTTTCATGGTCAGCTCGACACGTAACCTTGCAGAGTGGTAATATCAGTCCCTCGTCTAATTTTTATCCAATTGTGTTTATCTTTTTAGGTACATCACCAGCCGATTTTCTCCGTTTGATGGAAGGTTCGAATCATAGTATTAGAAGTTGCAGAATGTTTTCAACGTTTTCAGGACAGCTTCGCAAGTAGACTTGAATATTGTGTAGTTTTTTTAGTTTCACTTGTTTCTGTATGATTATGTTAGAATCATCGGTGTTTGGAATATTTGTAGCTTGTCTTTTTGTATTTTGCCTCAACTTTGGAAGTTAGTCTTCTGGACAAATAGTTTCTTATTTGTTTTGGAACATAAAATTATTAATTATTGGCATTCTGCTCCTTTATGTGCTATTATTAGGCTTAGATTCCTCTTCTGGTTGATTGTGATGGATTAGTTGGTTATGTTAAATATTTCATTACATAAGGATGGTCATTTTTGTTAAAAAGTTATGATTACTGTTAGGAGATATGAGTAGTTTATGTTTGAGTTCGTGTTCGTAATAATGAGCCGACTCGGTTTGGCTCATTTGAGAAACGGGCCAAGACTTAGCTTGGTTAAGCTCGTGAAAGTTCAACTCGACTTGTTTAATAAACATAAAACTTTCAACGAGCTATTCCGGATAGATAATATTCGTTTATTAATAAGTTTGGTTCGTTTGTTTCATTTAAAAAAATCCTTGTAGAACTATTCACAAATAAGCTCAATTAGTTGTTCAAGGTTGACTCGTTTAATTAAATGAATGTTCTATTCACTAATAAACTCAAATAGCTGCTCAGGGGTTGACTCGTCTGATTAAATGAACGTGCCGAGTTTGAGCTTTATGGTCCGGATCGAGATGTTCTCGCGAATAGCTCGATCCAAATAACAACTTTTTTCGCTATGAGTGAAAGAGAGTTGCCAATAATAAGATTAAATGAACGTGCTGAGTTTGAGCTTTTTTATGGCCCGGACCGAGATGTTTACGCGAATATCTCGATCCAAATAACAACTTTTGCTATAAGTGAAAGAGTGATGTAGGGAAAGCGTGAACGAATGGGAAAAATACGAGTAAACGAGATACTCTCTCGTAAAACACGTAAAACGAGATACTCTCTCGATAAAACTCACAATCAATTCATTCTTTCTTTCATTCAATATTCAACTCTCCATAACAAATCACAACTGCCCTTTAAATAAAGTTCTAACCCTAAACTTAGCTTATTCCCTAAGCTAACCATTATTTAATAAATATACTAATAATAATAATAATAATAATAATAATAATAATAATAATAATAACAATAATAATAATCCTAATTTTAATCATATATAATCTCCATCAAAGAGAGTTGCCAATAATAAGGAAAATGTAAAAGTAGGTATGATATTTTGAAGTATAATTATATATTTTTGTTCATAAAATATGATGACTCGACATGTCTAATGCTTAACCGACACAATAATTTGTGATACCCGTTTTCTCGCACGTGACCCGCGCAACATACGCGGGAAACTAGAGACCTTAAAACCAATCTTTGGGACATCCAAAAATAGTCATCTGCAAGAAACTAAGAGAAACAGAAAATAATTTTGTAAAGACAATATTTGCAGAGAAAAAGCAAAAAGGACAAAAAAA